GCTGACCTTTCACAGAAAAAGTTCACCAAGAGGGAAGGGCCATCCACTTCCATGTCTGCTGGAGAGCAGGGTAATGCATCTCGGCATGTGGGGACAGGACATGTGGTGATTCCAGAGGGACCCAAGAGCACTTTGGGACTTGATTCCTTTGCTTCAAGTAAGGTGAAGGAGAAAGTCAAGCAGAGGGAAGCCTCAACATTCCACTAAGCAGCTACAAAGAAGGAATGAATGCTGGATCCGGAAAGAAACTTAGGAATCACCACCATAGTCCATAGAATCCACAATGTCTATTTTTTCCACACATTGACATCTCTGAAATCAGGCCATGGCTTAGAGCCAATATACTAGTGTTTAAGTGAAAGCATTTTTTGGTCTGAGCATCTTTTGTTTCTTAGTGGTATTTAAAGTACTAGCATCTTCAGTGGATGACATTTTGGGTTAGGCAGCTCCTACCTTCTATAGGTTCAGCCTCTTTCTGCCCTTTCCATTGTTGGGACTCTCATTTTTTTGGTTGGCACCCATTCCATAGAGTTCACTGTAAACTTGAGAGTGAGCTTCAATGCCCTATACATCTTGTTTAAGAGATTATGGAAGTATCATGTTCATCTTCAGAGGTTGACCTATGACTTGCTCAGATTGCATCAAAAGGGCACTGGGGGTGCATGCTGGGGAGGAAGCACCTTGTTCTCTGGGCAGGGAGGAGCAAGGTGGTTCCCCCCAGGTTTCTGTGGTCCGGGCAGGACAGGGTGCTGTGTAGACCCAAACCACTGAGGGTCTGGTGGGGCAGAAAAGATCTCACTGGGCTTCTGGCACGTTCCTTTCCCACCAGTGTTGGCCAGGCTCATTCCTGACGACACAGGTCCTCAGGAAAAGACAGGCAAAATGCAGCAAATGGGATTCAGGGGCAGAGAAAGAACAGAGATGAAGTGCAGGGCGACAGGGTTTGGGGGTGAGACCCAGAGGCAAGGTGTACAGAAAAGTCTAAAAATCATGAAGCCAGTGGCCTGGAGTCTACAGTGGCTGGGAAGGAAGTCACAGGAGGGAAGAGCCAAGGAAAATGGAAATAACAGCTCCTCTGCCTGTGGCTCAGGTCAGGGGTAGTGTAATTATTCTGGGAGGTCAGTTTGCTTGTGTCCTCGGGGCTGTCGCTGACCAGGGGCCCTGTGTCAGGTGAGGCAGGCATTAAGGGTTGAGCTGCTGGGGTCAGTGCAGCTCCCTGCCCACCTGCTCCACTTTAGGGTCCTCTTCCCATTTTCCTCTCTCACCTCCACCATGGCGCTGCTGTGCTGTGCTGTGTGTGGAGCTGTAAAGCCTTCCAGGATGCATGGAGCACAAATGTAAGCCAGAACGAAAGCCCCAAGACTGAGGAACACGGAGGTGGGTGAAGAAAAGAGGAAAATAGACTCGAAGGGAGAAAAGAAGAGGGAACTGGAGGGAGGCCTAGAAAGATGGAAATCACTCAAACTGGGAAATCACAGCCAGGAGACACAAGTGGTCCAGCAGCCCAGGAAGCCTGGGGAAGCCCAAGCCCCAGCAGCAGGCGATCTACGGGTGCACGAACAGAGACAGAGATGGGGACTTTGCTAGACCCCTTGGGGAAAAGAGAGGAGTGGATGGATTTCTCTTGACATCTTGGAAACTGCAAAAGGGAGAAGTGAGGAGGTGGTGAATGTGACCGGAGCAGGAGAGGCCTCAGGCTGCCACTCCGCATGCTTTCTCCTCTCCAGCCAGAGAGGAAGTGGGCAAAACACAGGAAAATCTGACACTTCCACCCAAAACGAGGGTGGTGATTCTGGGCAGGAATGTGGACTTATCCGAGGGAAAAGGGATAGGGCTGGGAGAAATAAAAAGGAGGTTTCAAATTTGTTAATAAGAATAGAGAGTTAAAGATGCACATTTGGTCTGCTTGTTCATTGCCTGGAACTCACAATGTGTGCAGAATGGGAAATAAACCCTGAGAACCGATAGGACTGAAACACAAGGAGAAAGAGAGATTGTGAAAAATCAATAAAATGTGGTATTCTGTGCCTAAATTATGGTAAGCGGCTAAAATGAATTTCTGGAAAGCCAAGAGATTTGGTGTGGGGGCTCTGTCTGACTGCAGTTTGAGGGTAAGAAATGTAAAATGTGAGACACAAATTTGAGGGAGAGGTCACAGGCCCTTAGGAGACGGGAAGTGGAGGGGATCTTCGAAAAAGGGTGCAGAAGAGACCCCCTGCAGTAAAAGGAGGACCCCACAGCCAGAATGATGTCCCAGAGAGGGCATTTGGAGGCCAGGACATGAGAAGGTGGAAGCTGCTAGGGGCATGGGGCTCGGGAGGTGGCAGCTGGTGCCATCACTGGACTCTGCCCCAAGGCTGACCAGACAGGCAGGGCAGTGCTCAGGGTGACCTAGAACCCAGGGATGCTACCCATGCTACCCATGCAGGGGGTGCAGGAGGCTTGTGTCCTTCTCAGTCCTATGCTCCAGCATCCTAGGAACTGCTGAGAGCAGACGGGTGACAGAGCTGTTCCCCACTGGAAGGCAGAACCACATGCACAGAAGGGGACATTGCAGCCACATCTGAACCAGGGCTGCTCCCTTCCCTCCCTGCAGGCCGGTGTGACCCACACTTTAGAACCAGGTCCCCTACTGGCTGTTGTTGTCCTTCGTGTTGATGGGGCAGGAGAGGCCCTGCCTGTGTGTGGGGACTGGCTGGAGGGAAGGCTGTGGTCAGGAGCAAAACTTCTACTTGCAAGAGGGACGATATGAAGAAAGGAATTTGGGAATCAGCTGCAGAGCTGGAGACCTCGAGAAGACATGGCAAAGCCTGCAGAGGAAGCTGGGGTGCAGGCTGACACCCCGAGGTGGGGGCTGTACACTGTTCCCCAGGCAAGGGTCCTGCTGGCTAGGACCACAGGTGGCACCAGGCCCCTGGCAGGAGCAACACAGAACCCCTGCCCCTCTGGGCCCTGGTGACCATGGTGTGGGAGGAGTGGGGAAGTTACAGCCACAACGGAGGGACAAGGGGCTCCTTGCAGTGGACGACGGCTATTCCTTTGGGAAGCAGAAACCCAGAGCTCAGAAACGTGCAGAAGAGTCAGGGAGGACAGAGTCCCAAGGGGCCAAACCCATTACAGACAAAGCCAGGGTGAAACAGAAGAGGAAAACAATGAAAATCGGAGAGCACTGAGTGTATGGGAAATTGATACCCGGCATTCTGTGAAAACCGTTGCTCCGGCTTTGGGGACCTGAGAACTGTAAATATGGACAATACACAAATGCCATTTATAATTCAAAAAGTCTGGAAGCTCAGATGAGGTAAACTATCAGAGGGCGCTCTGAGAAGTATGAGGAGGATATCTGTGGTCCAGATGAGGGAGGCGGAGGTCGGGCCGGGGCCCAGGGAAGGGCAACTGCGTTCTTTCCCATGGTGGTCCCAAGGGGCTGCCACAACCACATGCTGCCAGCTGGGGGCTTAACATGAGAAGAGGACAGAGATCCAAACCCAAGTCCCACTCGGTCACCCCCGCGCCTCTCCCAGCCTTTGCAAAGCCACGGGTCCTATACCTGGGACTCCATCACTCCAGCCTCCACCTCCATCTTCATGTGCCTCTCCCTTGGCCTCTTCATCTGAACCCTGGCCTGGCCTGGCCTCCTCTTTTCTTTTCTTTTCTTTTCTTTTCTTTTCTTTTCTTTTCTTTTCTTTTCTTTCTTTCTTTCTTTCTTTCTTTTTTCTCTCTTTCTTTCTTTTCTTTCTTTCTTTCTCTTTCTTTCTTTCTTTCTTCCTTCCTTCCTTTCTTTCGATGGGGTCTAAGTTGCTAAGTTGCCCAGACTGGGTTCAAACTTGTGACCCTCCTGCCTCAGCCTACCAGAGTACTGAGATTACAGGTGTGTGCCACCACTCTTGGCTTTTCCTCTTCTTTTGAGGGCTCTAGTCATGAGATTTAGGAACCACATTAGATCCAGGATGACCTTATCTTGTGATCCTTAACTCATTACATCTGCAAAAATCCTATTTCCAAATAAGGTCATATTACGAGGCCCCACTTACGCATGCATTTTGGGGGACACTCTCCAACCCCCTACAGGATCCAAGCACCTAGGATATTTAAAACATTTCCACATGCTTCTTGTCCCCAGAGTCGCCTTTCTCATGGCGGGGCCACACGTATCTGTAAGGGCGGCCCCTGCTCTTGGGATGGAAGCCAAGCTGCTGGCTGGCACCGAAGGCTCCGGCATCTCCAGGCTCTGCGCCTGGCTTGCCCTGCTCACCCTGAGTCCTCTATTCTGTGACCTCACGTACCTGTCCCCCTTGGTCTTTATGACCCGGCTGTGAGAAGCCTCCTCAAAGAACCTCAGGTAAATTCCTCTGTAGGACTTTGTCCTGTTCACTCGACAGGGCACGGGTCCTTCCGGTCACCCATCATATGCCTCCTATCTGATTTGGCTTTTTGTGACTCTGAGCCACCCCCCACCACCACCATTGGTCCTTTTCCTCTTCCAACCCTGTGCCAAACGAGAGGCTGAAGTGCTGTGGGCTTAAGGAAGGGCCCCAGGAGAGCCCGATGGAGAGCACAAGGCTCCAAGAAGTCCTCCCCAACCCCCTGCATCCTTGGGGAGGGAATATGCAGAGCGGTGCCTGCCCTCAGATCCGCCACAGCCTTGGGCCTGGAAAACACCGGGAAATCTCGCAGGAAACGGGCAGCTGTGTTCCCGGGTGAACAGTTCTCCAGTTTGGGACAACACACGGTACTGATGACCCCTGTACAGTATGTCACTCGGGCCCTGAGGGCAATGCCCACCATGCAGGCCCACATTGCGGTCCCTCCTGTCCCTCACACCTGCCAGGCAGCAGCTCCACCAACCCCAAGCCCAGGTCCAGGGCTGGGGGCAAATGACAAACAACGTTGGTCCAGAAGCTTCTCTGGCTGAGTTCCTGATGTGGCCGTGGGAAGCAGAAGGCATCCCACACAGGGACGGACACATCCGGGGACTCCCGGTGGGCCGTGTCACTCACCCGCATTGTTCTGCTGCTTGGTGTTCTTGATGTAGGCGGAGAACTTGGAGAAGATGTCGATGCCCGCCGTGTTGGACTCTCGGTGTTTCGAAGCCAGTTTGGGATACCTGGAAGGAAGAAGTGTGGCTCTGTGAATTATGATCCTGCAGCCGGGGAAAGGTGAACCTGTCCCTGTCACTAGGTCTCCTTTCTAGCAGGACCCAGTTCCCTGAGTGTAAGCTCAGGGTGGGCGCTCGGCACATGCTCACAACCAAGAAGACTGGAGAGGAGCCAAGCATTGCCTAGGGGCGGCACATCCTGCTGGCAAGGAGTCCAAATGCCACCCAGAGTGCTTGGGATGCGTTCTCTCCTTGGGACTGACAGTGTTGCCCCTGGAAAGGCCCAGCTCATGATGCTGGCTGGGGTGGCCTGACAGGTCCCCTTCCCAACCCCAGCGCCTGTCGCCTGTCCCCCGCTAGCTGTTACAGGATCCCAGCTTCACAGCCAGGCAACACCATCTCTGAGCTCCGAGGCCACTAAACCACCTCTTCCAGGAGTCCCCACCGTCCCCTCTGGAACCATCCTGCCTTGGGAGCGCTGTGTGCAGTAAGGACAGCTCCCTCCAGCTCCGCCTGCAGGGCCAAGTTTCCCCTTGTGTCTCTGTTCACGTCTCAATCTGGTGCCAGACGCTGCTCTTCAGACCATTGGCCTGAGACAGGATGAGGGCACTGAAGCTTTAACCCAACAGCATGGTGAACACGAGCACCCCTAACTGAAAGAGCACTCTACGCTCATGGCCAGGCAGGGCAGGAAGACAGGGGCAGTGGGCTGGTCAGCATTGTTATCAGCTGATGTGGATCACTGTGACCTCTGGGTGACATTTCTAACTGGGAGCGGTTTGGTTGCTTTATTTGTTTATTAGTCATTTGTCATGTGTTTTTCTCCTCATCTGGCTCACTAGCTAGGTCCGTCACTCTTGAGCTATGGGAAGTGTCTGTTTAGCTTTGGCAATGCCCCCGTTGGAATCATTAGGGTTCATTTCAAAGGCTGCCAGCTGTTAGAGAACTCTGGGGACTCCCGAGATCATAGACCTTAGGCTAAAAGGGACGTGGAGACCAGGTAGTATCACCCTTCATTTGAGAGATGAGAAATAAGGAGGGTCTGAGAGGGACAGACTCGTCCGTGGTCACAAGACAAGGTCTACACCTGGTGGAGAGGTGGCCCGAATTAGGTCTCCTGACTCGGTTCTGTATCCTAGACCCTTTGGCCACTCCCAGAGAGCAGATGCTGGGCCGGCCTGTCCCCATTGCCAGGCCACACAAATCCCAAGCCCTCCTTGTCCAGCACTGGCTGGGTCTGTGGCCTGAAAGGGACAGATATTAGTCTCCTTTACAAACAACTGGAGACTTCCTGGATTCCTCATTTTGACACCAAATGCTCTGTGGAATCAAATGTGATTTTAAAGAGTTGTTGGAGTGTTTGGATGTGGCTTGAGGGGAAAAGGTTCCCATGATGTCTCGGGTCCCTGGCAGTCTTAATCCAGAGAAGCATGTGAGAGAGAGCGTGGGTGACAGTTTTGGGGCTCTGCTGCCTCCTGGAGAAGCAGGGGGCCAGACTGCCCTGTTTGGGGCCCGCGGACACGGCCCACCCCCTCCCAGCCCAGGTTGGTGGGGAAGTGGCCTGGCTGTGGCCAGACTGGCAACATCTACAGGGAGCTGAGCACTGACTTGGTGACAGCTCCTTGGAGGTCACCCGGCCCCATCTGCTGAGCACAAAGGCGTCAGATGATGGCCTCACTGCGAGGGTCCTGCCTTAGCCACTGTCCTGTGTGGGAGCGTCTATGCTTTTGAGGTCCTGTTCTCGGGGAGTCTGGGCCCCCCACTGCCCATCACTGACATGGCAGACGTGTGCTGGTAAAGCTTCCCACATTTAACTGTAGTCCAGAAAAAGGACCTGGGCCAGACACAGCCAAGCTCAGGGCACGTGACATGGGCAGAGATGGAGGGGTCTAGCCCTGCCTGGACAGTGGAAACGTCACAACCTGGTGGAGGGAAGATGAAGAAGATGGTGATCCTCCTCCTCCTCAGAAAGAACGCGCAAGGACGAAATCATCCCTTCCCTTCCGTCCGACCCAGAAAGAAGCCGCTCATTACTTTTCGGGGGCCAAGGTCTCCTCCAGGAACTCCTCGATCTTGTTGACATCTGTCTTCACTTCCCCGTTGAAGGTCAGGAAGGGCGGGTGGGTGCCAGGGGCGAGGTTGTGCAGGTCGGCTGGCTTTCTGCAGAGAGAGCAGAAGTCTGGGGTTGGCCTGTGCCCGGCAGAGTCCCGTTCTGGGAGGCCTGAGTTGACTGTAAAGCAGACTCGGTGCTGTCCAACACAGATTCATGGTGTTGGGTAGGGAAGAGGGGCTGGAGAAAGCACTGGAGGGTGGACCTGGTGTGACAGGAGCCCTTCCCCAGGGAGGCCAGAGCCAGAGCTGAGCACTTCAGAGAAAGTGGCGGCTCTAGCTTGGCTCCCAGCTTTCGTTCTACAGCAGAGAAGCTGCACCTGGCTTTCAAAAGTTCACTAATTATTCTGACAAAATGTGCCAAGCATAATTCCAGACCTTAAAAAGGAGTGAGTTGGATCACACTTTTATACCAAAAAATATCTTCAGATACAAAAGGGAGGATCTTGGGCTATTTGTTCCAGGTCGGGGACCCTTATGGCGAATAATTTAAATTTACTGTTTCCTAACTGACGGTAGCACTGGTCAGCCCCTTGGCAGACTCAGAAGAGCACCTTTTCCACCCATAAACAGCACCTGACGACTGTTCTAATTTTTCTGTAAAGTAGTCGTTTTCCTTACTTAAAAAAATTGTGTTATACATAAAAAATTGAAAGTACTCTCTAAGTCAGAAATTGTGCTTATATTTTTTCTTATTTTTATTAGTACATATTTGCAGTGGATACTGATTACATTTGTCTCGGGAAGTTGGTACACATACATAATACATCCCAATTCTTTCTTTTTTTTTTTTGGTACCGGGGATCTAACTCAGGTCCTTGCGCTTGCGCAGCAGGCGGCGAAACCACTGAGCTAAATCCCCGGCCCAGACCTTACACTTGTGAAGCAGATGGCAGAACCACTGAGCTAAATCCCCAGCCCCCAATTCTTTCTTTTTAATACCCTCCCTTCCCCACTCTCCCTGTTGCTTTCAAGAACTATGAATTTTAAGAATAAAGGTATCTAAGCATTGCCTTAAGTTATAAATAATCCATTTTCTAAATAAATACATCTTCTGTTTTCTAATGGGACTCAACTAGAGTACTTGCTTTATGAGCATTATTTTCCCTGTATAGCAAGCTGGGACCACTGGGGTCTGTTATGGGAAGCATATACTGCAGGATAAAGAGCACGTTCGATCAATCCTTAAGAAGAAAGAAGGCACAGTGTGCCTGGAGGATTCTGGGTCAGACACTTAAATCTAAGATAGCCAAGGCAACAGGGAAATCTCCCCCTGCAGAAGTGCCAATGGGAAAGAGGCGAGTCTGGAGAGGAGGACAGACTCCTGGGACACTCATCCGGTCAAATGAAGGGACAGTCCATGGCTTGAGGGTCCACACTCAGCCACGGCCATGCTGAATGTGGCTCTGCTCTGTGCCACTGGGCAGAACCCTGGCTATCTGCTGACTTCTGGCGACTGCAATGGAAGGGAGGCTTTGGTGGGAGCTCTGTTCATGCCAGTATGGTTCCATGATCCACCAGGTGGTCAAATTCAAGAGCAAGGATGGCACAGAAGGAGGAGGAAGTGTTGGCAGATGTGAAGATGGGAATGGAGGGTGAAACTGCACTGAGAAGAGGAAGGAAGGGGAGGATGGTAACCTGAAGGAACCCCCCAAGCCTCAAAGCTCTCTTGGGGCAGCCACCTGTCTCTGGGAGTCCAGGTGGAATACACTGGAAGGAGGAGCTGGAGAAAATGGTCAACAGGGCAGAGGTGTCTGTAAGGAAACAAATTCCTGGCATAGTCAGCTGGGGAGGGGACTAGAAGAATGTCAACGACTCCCTGCTCCTGATTGCTCCCAAACACACAGGCTGTGGCTCAGAACTTGAGACGGAAAGTATGATTAAAATCCAATTGACTGCATCCCTGTGTTTACTTTGCATGAGTCCCTCCTTCAACCCAAGAAAGCACATTCTTTCCTGGCTCCTCCTGGTACTGGTGCTGACACAGCTCTTGCATTTGACCACCTGGCAGACCATGGAATCACACTGGCCATGAGAGTTTTGTTTTCCTCTGGTTGCTTCTCTGTGCCTTAAGGATGCAGGGATTGGAGGTGGTTGTGGTGTGGTTTTTTAAGAATAGCTGACACAGAGGGAGGTCTTGTGGTCAGCCAGGTGTGAGCCCAAATGCAAGTCCTCCCCATGGCCTGCCTAATCCAGTCCTCCTCACCATCCTGTAGTCACTATTTTATCTCCATTGGACGGATGAGGAACCGGGGGCTCAGAAAAGGTCAAGGTCACTCAGCCAATGAATGGCGGAGCCAGGACAAGAAATCAGTTTTCCTAGAAGTCAAGAGGTCTGCGTGTGTGGGCAGCAGCATGAAAGCTTCCATACCTACAAAGCTGGGGAGATGCTGGGCTCAGAGGGGTGCTAGTGGGACCAGGCACCATCAAGTGGAGGATGCTGGGTGGGGCCTCCTTCCCTCTCTGGCCTCCAGCCAAACACAGGTGTCATTTTAGAGACAATGATCCCAGATCCCTGGTTTCCCACCCAGGCAGCTGTCCTTTCTAACTGTTCGCAAGCCCTGCTATTTCCAGCTAAGCAGATGCTAGGCGTATGGCAGGTAGGGGCTCACTTATTTCTTACACATGAGCAGAGAGCCTTTAAGCAGTGGGGACACACGAGAAACGTCAACATGGGCCTGCCTATCCCTGAGGGGTCTGTGGTCTCATCTGAAAGATGACAGGAGCTTCCTAACTTTGGTGCAAGGAGGGACACAGGTTCGACCCAGGGAGATTCCCATGTGAGTGGGAATGGTGTCTAGCTGGGCACCTCGGGTGAGGGTCTGAGGGTGCCTGTCACGGTTCTGTGTGTCACACTGGGGAGATGGAGATGGTCTTCTCCACAGGGCACTGGTATGGTGTGGAGAGGGGAGGGGGTGACACCCGGCCTGGGGCCAGGTTTCTGTAGAGACAGGAGAGGGCCTGTGTAGACAGGGATGCAGGCTGCCAGGAGCAAGAGCAGCAACAGGAAGTCCACCTGGAAGGTGAGCAGGACACTGGGAGACAGGGCTAGGGACAAGAAGGACAGGAGGAAGAGGGTTTTGGGGTGTCCACTTTGTGGACAGGGGGAAGCAGTGAAGGCTTTGGAGCAGGGGAGACACTTGACTGAGGCACTGTTTTAGCAGGGATAATGTAAAAGACTGGGGAAGCGGGAAGGGAGGGAGAGAGAAGGATCTAGAAGGATGAAGGATGGAGACCAGTTTGAAAAACGAGCAATCAGTCAGGCTGGTGGTGCTGAGATCTGAACTAGGACCAGGCATGGGCTTTGGGGATGGAAAAGAAGCCATGGGGGTGGAAGACAGCCCTGTGAGAGGAGAGAGAGGAGCTGGCAATGTTGAAAAGGTAGGAAAAGGTAGGGCAAGGAAGTCAGGATGGGAACCACCCAAAAGGAAAAGAGATAATGACAACTTCACACATACAGACTTTAAAGCAGCACTAGAATATCCTAGTGGGGAAGTCTGGATGATGGCAGGGACTTGGGTATGGAATAATTCAGGGAGATCATGCTGAGCCTACCGGGGAGGTGGGGGTAGAAGCTGAGTGCTCAGGGAGTGAGGCTGAAGCTGTTCCACAGTTAAAGGGCAGGTGAAGAGAGGGGCAGACACACTCTGTAGAAGGCAAAGATGTGGCGCTGGGGCTGGAGGGTGCATGGTGCTTTTCACAGCCATTAAACAGCACTTTAAAAACAACATGAGCTGGGCATGCTGATCCAGCACTCTGGAAGGCTGAGGCAGGAGGATTACAAGCTCGATCCCAGTGTAGGCAACCTTAGTGACTTGGAAAAACTCTCTCTCCAATGAAAAATAAAAAGAGTTGGAAATATAGCTCAGTATGAAGGCCCTGGATCCAATTCCCAGTACAAAAAAGAAGAAGAAATTAAAGTCAGACACAAGCCCCTCTTCACCCAGGCCCGTAATCTAGATCTGCTACACTAGGGACGTGGGAAGATGGAATACAGTGTGGGATATGAAGGCTTAGGTCTCATCTGAGTCCTGCTGGGGCCCTGGGGACGGTGGCACTGCACTCCTGCGCTGGCGACCTGTGTGTCCTTAGACACCTGCACCTGTCCTCTGCCGGACACTCCTAGCTGTACCCAACATCCTTCCTCCCTTCTTTTTCACAGTTTGGGCAGCAAGGGACCCATTCAGACTGGAGACACCATATTTGCAGCCTCTTCATCCCTGGGGCAGCTGGGGGACACGACGGATCAGGACTGGAGGTCCAAGCTGAGGCTGCAGGAGCCACTGGAGGCTCTGCCCTCTGTCACCCAGGCTCCCTGTCTCTCCCTGAGTCCAGTGCTTGGGGACACAGTGTCCTTTACCTTTTCAGATCCACAGTGGTGACGTTGAACACAACTCCTTTCAGCCAGAGGATCATGAAGAGGCGCTGGGAGAAGGGACAGTTGCCGATGCTTTCTCCATCGATGCCCGCCTGGAGGGACAATTAGCAGAAGACTCAGTGGACATGTCCCTGAGTGAGGAGGACATCAGATTACAATGTGCAGATGCTGGTGTGAGGGGAGCCATGCTACAGCCCACCTGTACAGCCTGTGTCACTCATCTCTGTTTTTCCGGTCCCTTGTAGGGCAGTGCTGGGCCTCAGTAAACCTACCCTGAACTGAACTGAGTTTCAAGCATGGGGAGTTTGTGGAATCACAACTTCCTGAAACTACAGAGCCCTGGAATCTTAGGGCAAAGAAAGGACCTCCAACAGCACATACTCTACCATAGATGATTCCAGAACATTCCAGATAATTCCAGAACATTATATCCCCTAGTAATCACCTAGTCTGTGTTGAGTATCTCCACTAGACACGTGACAGAGTGAGATTTCAGAAGACCCTGACTTTTGAGCTGTCCCTGGTGACACCTAGTGAGTAGATTTAGCTACTTCCACTAAGCCTCAGTGCCCCAGTGCAACCACAAGTTCATGTGCAAAATAAGTGTCACTCAAGTCACTGAGTCTTGGTGGCTTGTCACCGGGAAGATCACTCACACTCACAGTTAGCCACAGGTCCCATTATCTACTTCACAGGGTGGTGATACACCCGAGAGAGGAAATATAAAAACACAATATTCACAGTATGTGTAAAGTTATAGCTGTTGCCATGATAACTACAGACAAACATTTAGGAAGCCCTCATTAAACATGCCTGTTGGTGACATGCTGTGCCTTGGAGAAGAGTTGGGAGACTGTTCTGTGACAGCACAAATCTCAGCAGTAGCTTGGCGTTCAGGGTTTTGTGCTGGAGCTACAGCTCCCACAGAGAAAGCACACATGTGAAGAAGAATCACAGCCTCCGATGCCGGCCGGGGGGACGCTCTCCAACTCGGCCAGCCATGCACTGACCATGAGGGGAGACGAGAAAATGCTCACATCTGCCTAGCTGCTGGCACGTGTCTATTCTCCATGAGGCCACTGAGTTTCTGCGCACGGCAACATTCTCCAACCAAACATTTTTTTTCTAGGGGCCTTGGAGTCAAGGATGAGAAGGGCTAGAACTCAAGGAAGCCAGATGGGTGAAGCTAAAGGCTCAGGCCTAGGACGGTTTCCCCAAAGTTTGCTATGGAAGCCCAGTGGAAGCCATTATGCTCTCTCAACATCTGGGGCTCTTGTCACAAATATTTAAGGGACTGTCATGCTGTGTGTTAGACCTGATTATGCTCAGATCAGAAGAGCTGAAAGCTGGAATTCTTCAATTTCAGAAACATACCCCCCAAAAAAGAAACCAAAGAAGGATGCTGACCGACTGCCTCAAATAAACAGCCCCTTTCTGATGAGTTTAACTTGAAGGAGGGATCTTCTCACCCAAGACTCCAATGGACAGTCCCAGTCCTAGAGGAGGAAACATGTTTTCCACTTAATTACAGCACTGTCAAAACTTATGCTTTCCTCCCTTGACCTGTTTTTTATTTGTTATCCAAGATGCTATGGAAATTAGTTCCAGCTTTTGATCATGAATCCGTTTCTCTGACACTCGTGGAATGAGTCTGTGATTTCCTAAAATCTCTGTACTGAATAAGGGTATCCTGGCATGAGCTGTTTCTCCTATGAAGTTTGGTGTTTGTGATTCCTCAGTTACTAGTCAACCTCCTTCTGCTCTGGTTGAGGTTTGACATAGAATTTTTTGTTTTTCTTCAGTGCCAGGGATCAAACTCAGGATCTTGCGCCCACAAGGCAGGCGCAGCACCACTGAGCTAAATCCCTAGCCCTTGTACATAGAATCTTAATAGGATAAGCGGATCTGAAAAGGCATCAGAGAAATAACAAAATCTAACATCCTACCTCTCAGTTGGGCAGAGTTAAGTGCTCATTAGCCCCAAACTTAGAAATATAATAGATTAGAAGATCATGGTGCTAAATTAAATCAGAATCATTAGATTTAATAAGGGCTCCTTAAGTCTAGGACCTTGGCAAAATCTGTACAAAATTACTGTTTTAAATTATGTTAATAAAGCAGAGAGAGAGAGCTTGAAAATTCACCTCTAATGCTTGACATAAAACACACTGTCCCACCCCACTCTCTGCTATTCCAACAGGATTCAGCTGGAGAAGGGCTCACATTTCTACCTGGTCCTCAGACGGTTCTCCAGGTGATTCTCATGATCAGCCAGGACCAACGGCTTCCAGCCCAATAGGGGTGTACAGATACACCCAAGGAGCTTGGTGGAAAGTGGACAAACCAGAAGGTCCCTGATTCCACTGGGGACATGAGACTCAGAGTCCCTGGGCTAAGACGTGGGTGAGTGGCTGAGCTAGGAGTCCAGGCCTGGGTGTTGCTTCCCTCAACTCTGGTTCCTGTTTCCCTTTCTCCACTGAAAACTCCTCTGTGACCTGGCCCCTCCTCCCTGCACTCTGTACTGTCCTCCCTCATTTTCCCTTCCTGCATAGGCCCTGAAGGAGGGCACCATTTTGAATCATCTGGGAGCAGAGAGCACTTGGATAAAGACACCTGGAGAAGCTCAAGTGAGTGCTGCCATAGGCAATGCCAAGAGCTCCACTTGCCAGTGGGTGTCCTTGTGGCTGTTTCCCCTCACAGGGCTCCTACGCTGTGCCAGGTGGTCCTCCCCCAGAGTGGCAGAGAATACTGTAACCACGTCCAGCCATCCTGGCCACTAGGCCAAGCTCTCCTGTGGTCAGTGCAGCCATGGCCATAGGTGCTCCACCACCTCTTGTTTCTCCAGCCACTTGCCTTCCCAGCCATCATTAGAAAATTTGCTTCTTCTGAAATGCAGCATCCCACAAAGCCCTGCTTTTGCTTTCCTGGCTGTCTGGAGTATGAGGCTTTAGCTCCACCCTCAGCCACCGTGGTCACCTGGCTACCTGGGCAGCTGGACTGACATAGCCTGATGTGACTTTACCAAGAAAGTGGGATGTGGGCAACAGGAGCATCCTAGAGATCTTGAAACCAGGTAGGGTTTTACCTCTTTAATCCTAGGTGAGACTCAGCCATCCTGGTACCTCTGCAGCTCACGGTGAGAAGCCTATCTACCAAGTTCCCCTGACAAAGGGCTGCATTTCCTGTCATTGAAAATTCTGTATTTACAATGACCTCAGGCCTGTAATTCCAGCTACTTGGGAGGTGAGGCAGGATGACCCACTGTTCAAGGCCAGCCTGAGCAATTAAGCAAGACCTTGTCTCAAAAAATAAAAAGGGCTGGGGCTGCAGCTCCATGGTCGAACACTTGCCTGCCATATATGGGCCTTGGGTTTAATGCCTAGCACTGCAAAAAAGAAATTAAAAAAAAAAAAGACTACAGAGTTGTTTAGAAGGTTAGAAGGGCAAGACATATAAACAACGCCACATTCTTTTTTAATTAGTTTGGAGGTGGGAGGCCTTTAACATAAGCACTGAATTTGGAGTAATGACTTTTCCCACATGTGCACAGTAGACACTTAGTCAAGTGGAAGCAGGATGGTTCCTGACTTGAGTTCCCAGGTTGCCCTTTAAAGAGTGGCAGGGCAGTAGAAAGCAGAGGACCAGGAGTCCTGAGTTTTGGTACAAAGAGTTTGATCTTGGACAAGTAATTCCACCCCCGCCCCCCCAGGCCTTAGCTTTGTTATTTTCAAAGTGGAGATATTAGAATAGAAAGTCATGAAAGACACTGGAATATTTCTAAACTATAGCTGGGAAAAGGTGAATATCACTGAATCTTTTATTTGCATCTAATAATTCCAGTGGCTGAATACCATCTCCCTGAGCTGTCCCGGCTCATGGCATGGGGTTCATGAATGCTTGCAAGGTGAAGGAACTGCAAGCTGACATTCCACCCAGAAAAGGCAAACAGGTGGATGGCAGGCCAGGAGCTGCACTGTATAGGTAGGGACCAACCAAAATATACAATGAATGTTTACATTTTTAAAAGTGTGTTGCACACTGCCCGGGGTCCCTCAAAGGCTTCCCCTTCACTTGGAACACACTTATCCCATCATTTGCCACTTTTGAAGCAGTTCTGGAAGTCCTCTTTCCTCAGTGTCTTTATAAGGACAGTGAATGCTGCTGCTGAGTGCCATCCAACAGAAAGGCAAGACTGGAAAAACATGACAGGCTATCCTCCACCTTATTCACCTCATCTGGCACTGTGCAACTTCTGGCTCTTCTCCAAAGTCAAATTGACCATGGAAGGGAAAAGTTTTGAATCTATTCAGGATATTGAGGCAGCTATGATAGCACAGCTAAAGACACTTGGGAAAGAGGGCTTCCAGAGCTGCTTCAGAAAGTGGCAAGAACAACAGGACAAGTGTGTGTAAATCCAGGGGAAGGAATTTGATGGGGATTCATGGCAATATGTTTCTTACTATAATAAATACGTTTTAATTTACACATTCACCATAGTTTTTGATGCCCCTCTTTTGGGTGGGGGACATGAACCCCCTGCCCAGGACGCAGAAGCTTTGCCCCTCCTAGCTGCCCTCCATACCTGTCCATCATATTCTAGCACACTGTGCTATGGAGCAGCAGGAGCTGTATCCCTTCTCGAAAGCTATCCCCCAGTACCCAGGTCTATCAAGTTTCATTAAGCCCTTCACTCTTTACTCTGGGCCAGCTGAGGTGCAGAGTTCAAAGGACTTTTCTGCAGCTGGGCATGTAAGCAATAAGTAGGATGGAGTTGCAGCCGAGCAGGGTTGGTGGAAATCTCTGTGCAGAGCGTCCGTGTGTGCCCTGTAGATGTGATCACAGAAGGCTGTGGTGTGTCCTGATCCTGGGTCCTTGGAGTGGCACTGTTGAGAGGTGGACCCTGGAGGGAGGGAGGTCTTGCGAAGCAATGGAAGCTGATCTCCAGAGATGAGTTCCTGCTTGGGGCAGAGGGTTGCTATACAAAGAGCAAGATGGGCCTCACCCCTCGCTGGCTTCCTGTCTTGCCATGTGGCTACTCTCACATGGGCTCAGCCATTGATGCCTTCTGCCACGAGGTCCTCCCTGGAGCCAGGGCCACGCCAGCACCAAGCCTTTGAGGTTCCAGATCCATGAGTTAAATAAGCCTCTCTCATTTATAAAGTTCCAAGCCCCGGGTACTTTGTTATAGTAATAGGATATGGGCTAACACAGACAGTGAAGAAGAGAACTGAGCCCTTCTGAAAGTCATCTCGAAAGACTTCCTTTTAAGTCTTGTTTATCATTTACTCTCTTAAAAGAACAAAATGCTGAAGACAAAGGAAAAAAACTTCTAGGTTATGGGGCTATGGTAGGGTCTGAATTCTAATCAAGATTTCTTCCTCTCTAATGGGGAGGATTCACTCAAGGTAAAGACAAGAGACAGAGTCACACCATTGCTCCTGCACTAGATCCCTCCCCTCTCGTCCTCCAGTGAGGATGAGGACCAGGTAACAGCTAAAGGGAGCACAGTTCCCGGTGGAGGGCAGCACTCAGCCCAGCTCCTCCTGCACTCTGCCCTCTGAACCCATCTCACATTCCTCCTCTCTTCTATGCCACCACCGCAGGTGGAGAGAAAGCTGGTGGATACCCCTGGGCCACAGGAAATGCCCCTGCCTGCCCAGGGCCTCATCATGGAGCTCATCAGCCTGGTTGCCTACAAGCACCTGAGAACTCAGTGAAAAACTGCTTTAGAAAGGGGCTTTGCAAAACAACCTCACCATTACAGACATAGAAACAGATCCAGGTTTCATGACAAGGAGACTCAATTTCTTTTTTCTTGCCTTGAAAAAATTCAATATGAACTTGTGCCTGGCTGAGTTACATGTGCAGATTTGGGCTAGACTGTAATTGAAAAGGAGTCTGTTTTTTGTAAGTCTCCAGGCCAAAAGAGGAAATGAAAACCTTTTCCAAATGGCAGACGAAGGCAGGAAATGTTCTATTTATTGTACTCCCATAAAAAAATAAACCTATCTCAGTACTTATACCATACACACAATAGTCCAGGCGTTCACCTAGGAAGCTACAACCTGAAAGTGGGTTTCTCTGCAGAAAGGAAATTTTTCTAAGACCTACCATAAATTTTTTTCACAAGTCCCCCTGTAGTTGGAAGGGACAGATTGCCCATCAGCTTCTTGTCTACCAGTGGGAGCCCGAAGCATGCTGCATACTGCTCCCAGTTGTTCTGCAAGATAAATGCATCTTTGCACAAGTCACAGCCTCAGTCTGCCCCCGGCATCCTTGCTCATGAGTCAGGGATGCCTGCATAATGCCTAATCCTAAGTCCTCTGGTTCTCTGTCTGCTCACTGTTCAGCCGTGTTAATTGGGCGTGAAGAAGTTGAATGTGATCTTTGCTTGTGAAGAGTTTTCATATAAACACTCTCCGTCATGTCAGAGTAGCTGTCACAAAGATACAAAACTATCCCCTGGGGTTGACTCCGAGCTAAGTGATGTGCAGGAACTATTCCTTCCCCCCACTGGATCCTTTCTGGTATGATGCTCTCGGGGAACCAAGTACCAAGAAAACTTGTTTTGTGTCCATTATATCCTGGGTGGGTCCCCAAAAGCAGCCATTTGGGATGTTAATGCAGAATGCATCGTCAGCTCTCTCTGAGTCATCCCATGTGTAGGACTGGAGTAGACATTCATGTAGCTACCTCGCATTACAAGGTCTCCATTCCACTGCAGGGGACCACATGGAGTAGTTGTGCCTGTTTGCTACAAACTGTGCTATGGCCAACCACTCCCCTCTCCAACTCCACCGAACAATTCCTCTCCTGGCAAGCCAAAGTCACTGCACCTTCCCCTTACTTACAAGAAACTCCTAAGGAAGGAAGCCCGCTATTGTTGGACTATGTTTAGAATAGGAGATGACCTAGAAGCAACAACAGCATCCACCTTGTATTTTGGATCAGCCCCTGCAAGCGACTGCATGCTAAAGAACCACAAAGAAGTTTTAAACTGCACTCCATCTCCCCACACTTGGAGGAGATTCGGAGATCTCCAGAATCCTTAGGGAACCACGTGACTATTGTTTGTGACTGCCAGTTTTGTTTCTAATGCTGATCTTCGAGAAGACAAGAAATCTGTTGAAGAGCTAGAAGAAATGGAGCAAAATTAGAATGGAAAGCACAATTTCCCCCTTCTCAATGTGTCGCATACTTGAGGGCCGTACCTACTCTTTGGAGCCTGCATGCAGAGCCCCCGGCAGCAGAGACATGCTGTGGGGGCTAAAAAGAAAGGAGGTCTTGGGAACAGCCAATGAAAGCAAGCAGAGTGTATGTTCACTGAGGACTTCACAGCACTTGTAGTTGGATACCTCTCTCTCTGTGAGCAAGGTTTTCTTCTCCCTGTCTTTTCATCTGGAATTTTCTTAAAAGATGGCTTGCATTGGCCTCAAAGCTTCTCCCTTGTCTGCAATAGGGAACAGTAACTAACAACTGCCACCTGCTTTCCAAGTTCCGTGAGGGTCCCCGAGGATAATGCACAGGCCACACCCCGAAAGGATGAGAGCAATGAGCAGGTACCACCCCATGAGCCCCCTTCCTCAGTCCGTAGCTGGAATTTAATGTCCCACAGCTCTGCGGTCCCTTAGGAAGATGAACACGATTCTGTCCCTCAACGGAGTCCCCGCAGGATCTCCCAGAAGTGGCCCCAACAAGAAGTTTCTCTGACAGGAGGAAATTCCAGGGTGTTTCCGGCCTTGCTACTCAAAGTAAGTCCATGAACCTACAAAGGCCGCACCCTAGGAACTCCTTAGAAATCTAGATTCCCAATCCCAGACCATACTTGGTGAATCTGAGCCTGCGTCTTCAGCAAGCTCCCTCTCCCTGGGTGATTTATGCCTGTTCAAGTTTGAGAAGACAGCGCTTTGCGATGTTTGGAAGACAACGACCTCAGACAGTGCCAGAACGCAGACCTTCCTAACCAGTGCTGTGATCAGTGAAGTTATCGAAAACAGATTATTGAAAAGTGCATCTCTTCACATTTGGATTTCACATAATTCCTGCTTAGGGGAAAAAAATATCTCTACTTTTGCACATAGTAATCTGGCCCTTCTGGTTTCTAAAAATGTTGCCAGTGAGTCTCAGCCCAATTTCGGTACCTCGTGCAGAGGAGGAGTCTGCTTGCAAGTGGGAGTGGCAGCCACGTGCTGAAAGGGGACACTGGGCTGCAATAGGAGCTGCGGTTGGATTATTTATGGAAATTCCATGACTTGCCCGTCTGCTAGAAGCTGGTGGTGCCATGGTCACCAAGCAGGATTGTCCTGAACAGCTCCATCCTCACCCCCAGGTCGCCTGCCTCTTCCCTGTGGGACTCAGACGCTGACCTCTGCGTGCAGGTCACCTGACAGAGCCCTGCTGTGTCCTGAGCGGCCCAGGCTCTCAGAGGGTCCCCCACAGGGTCCCCACATCCACCAGGTCTAACTGCCTGAAACCCCAGGGCACACAGAGCCCAAGGCTGCAGAAAAACAAGGAAGAATATGCTGCAAATAACTTTAAGGAAAATCCTCTGTCTCAGGGTTTCTACCTGTATCACAGAGAGAAAGGTTTTCTTTGCCAACATACATATGATTTAACCCTAAGTATAAATTTGCCTTTTATAGTTTCTAATATTTGAAGGGCCGGGGATTTAGCTCAGTGGTTCTGTTGCCTGCCTTGCAAGTGCAAGGTCCCAAATTTGATCCCCAGTACCAAAAAAAAAAAATTACTAATATTTGATCCTCAAAAGCAAAGTACTACAAACTGCCTGTTCACTGATGGCAGATGGTTGATATTGTGGAATATCATACAGTTAATGAAAAGAATGAACAGTGTTTTTCTGCATTATTATGCTGGGGGGAGTGTTGTGGTTACAGAGAAAGGGAAGTCATAAATATGAACAGTGGGGCTCCCCTTTAAGGTGGGGTCTTGGTACATAGTCCAGGATGGCCTCAAATTTGTGATCCTCCTGGCACAGCCTCCTGACTGTTGGGGTTTCAGGAATGTGCTATTATACCCAGCTGGTATCTTTTCTTTCTTTGTTTTTTTTGTTAAAAACACCCTGTGTGTATTCATTAGTGTCTGTGTGTGGGTGTGGGTGTGGGTGTGTCCATGTCCATGTGTGGGTGTGTGCCCAAGAGGACATGGGGACTTTACCTCATGCTGATAAGATCGGTGACTTCAGGATGCTCTAATGTTTTCGCTATATGGTTCCAGGCAAGAAACTCTGAAACCCTTGGGACCAGATGTGTTTCAAAATCCAAAATATTTTGGGATGTAGAAAAGTGACACGATGCATGTGTGAATATATATGTAACCCCATTTCTGTCCCCAACAGGCCTGAGTCCACTGTCAAGTCCACAGCACGAGGTAGGACACTCGGAAACACAAGTCACATCTGAAAGTCAGGTCAGTTTTACATCCAAATGGACTTTCACCAACTCATGACAAATCTTTATGTCTTCAGGTCATCTTAAATTACGGGGTTTAGACATTTGAACCCTGAATTGGGGACCTATGCATTTCCTTAGGGTTTGATTTTTCAAAATGATCATATATTTGTAATCTCAAGACAAATACAGTAGAGTAAGAGGAAAGTGACATATGAGAAAGAAAACTTGGAGGGGAACCCATATGACATCCCGGTACTTATCCTTGGGCCTCCACAGGGCTTGGGTGTGGACCACAGCATGAGCCTGGGCACAGCTTGGTGAGACCAAGGGACAGAGTGGGCTGCCCTGGGGACTGAGACACAGCAGTGTCACGCTGCCCACTGACCTGAAGTGAAAGAAAGGATTTTTATGAAACAGAAAATCATCCAGGTGCTGAGGAGTGATGTCCCCTACTGTGGTCCCCCCTGAGGCCCCTGTCACTCTACAGGAACCTGAACAAGTGCATTTCGGTCAGAGTTCACGCGTGTGTCCAGTGAAGTCCCAGGGAGCGCCCAGTGTATGTGGACATGGCGGCCCCAGTGATGGTCTCAGAGTCTCCCTGAGCAGGCAGCATGTGGTTTTGTCTGGGTCCCCCTCAATCTAGACATCACTTTTTAAATATAGTTAAGTTGGTGATTTTTAAAAAAATGTCTTCAGAAGTGCCATGAGTTCATGTACATTGAATTATGGAGCACAAGATAGTATTTTACCTGTTAATCTCTAAACTGAGTCAGGTCCATGGAGCCTCAGTTTCTCTCACTGTGAAGTGAGGCTACAGCCCCTCTCCACCCTCACTCCGGGGTGCACAGTAAAACTCAAAGTGCTGAAACTCTTCGGGCTTCTGTGTGCTGTAAGCTATACGCAGCCCATTGCTCTGTGTTACGTAGGCGAAGGATCAGGACCTGAGCATCACAAGGCTTGGGTGATGGCAAAGTCCTTTGGGCTGGAGCCAGAAGCCTGGATCCAGTCCGGATCCCCCGCTAAGGCACGGGTGCCCATCTCTCAGAGGGCCCCGTGAGATCCTGTGCAGGGAAAGGCTCTGACCACTGGAAGCTGTTACAGCTTCTAACCACTACAGGAAGACAAAGATTAATATAATAAAAATACAGACAGTCCCTGCTTACTATGGCTGGACCCGAACAGCTTTTCTACCTTACCTACGAAAGTGAACCCTCCTGACCCTTCTGGTTTTCACTGTCACTACCAAATCACCTGAAGTACTCAACACTTTATTATAAAATAGAGTTTGCACTTGCTGATTTTGTCCAGTTATAGCTTTGAATAAGGGTTCGGAATACATTTCAGGTAGGCCAGGCCAGCCTGCCATATTCACAGGCTGCACGTGTTACATGCACTTCTGGCTTCTGGTGGGTTCATCAGAGATAACCCCATCCTAATTCTCGAAGCACCTGTTTAACCTTAGGTACAGTAAAGGGTAGGCAGCCCTTGCCACATGTCCAGGTAAAGGTGTGGCACCGGGTGCATTACTGGGGAAGTAAGTGTCCTTCTGTCATCATCATTTGCTCCCTGGGCTTATTGTTTTATCTGCCTGCTTATTTATTTGTTACGTGCACGGGGTGACTACCTGCTGTGCCTGGGACTAAGGGGGCCGCAGGGTTTTGGGGCCTTGAAACTGGGACGTATGTGGGAGCTTGGCCGCCCACTATGTGCACGTTTCTCCTTTCCCAGAGGATTCCAGAGGACCCTTAGACACAGCTTCCATTTCAGAAGCTCATCATCCAGTGCCTATGCTTGGAGAGGGTGCTCACCTCAGAGAGCTAGGAAATCTCGGCGCTTTCCCACTTCTTTTGTTTCATTGCACTGCACTTTTATCTTCTGTGGTATCTAAGCTAGTGATTCTCAGTATTGATGTCCACTCCAGACTCAGTTTAAATGTTTAGGTGGGTGGTAGACACGCCAGTGATTCCAACCTATGGCTTTCCCTAACATAACTAGAGCAAGTAAAAGCCTGCTGGTCTGGAAAACAGCAATAACACAGCCAAAGCACCTTGCTGCTGATTCTTCAGGCAGAATTTTCTGTGCAGTGCACGTAGTACACTCCCATACTCCCTTGGCTTTTCTCTGCTGAATGGGCAGTGTGTGCCAACCCTCTGCTTACACAGCAAAAGAGGAAATTACTACCTGTCAGGACTTTGTCTTTTATAAATAACCTGCCTTTAAGCTCTTTGATGATTTATAATCAATAGTTACAACACACAATTAAATTTTAAATAAATAAGCAGGGTGATGGAAGCCCCTGAGTAACAGGGACAATATTGCTTCCCCATTCTTTGAATCCACCCTCTGGCCTTTGGATCCGTTTGCTTCTGTCCCAGGACAGCACTCCGGCTTTTCACAGTGAACCGTACGTGGCACTCTTTCTAATGACACTGCCCTCATCATCGCTGTCCTCAGATGGTAAGGAACACCTAGCTCGCTGCCCTGGGAATGCTCTCCCCAAAGAGAAGGCCAAAGCCCTAGTCAGGGGCTCCTGGGCTCTGTAACCTGCACAGTTCTCTGGCCACACCTTACTCCTCTGTGAAGCAGCAACGTGGATGGGAATGCGTGGTACGACATGGTAGATGACAGTCACTTCATCTGAGGTACAAACTAAATGCCCAGCACCTACTGCCTGAAGCTCGCCGGCCACTTCGCACATGGAGAGAAAGGCTTGGATCACCTCTGTGTGGCTGCATAGATGAGCAGTTTTAATAAGGGAGAGCTAAGAAGTCCATGGTTAGCATTTTGTACTGACGGACACTTTTATCTCTCGTCTGGGAATCAGTCTAAATGACACAAAGTTGGAACTTACAAGCACTGAGAAGAATAATGACAAGTCCAGAAACAGAGTAGCCTTGATAAAGGTGAGACAAGATGCAAGCACAAGACCTGCTGCCTATTTTTATAGGCTGCATGGGGGAAAGCCTGCAGGGTCTGGGTGGTGGAGGAAAATGAAATTCAGTGAAAGAGAGCAGCAGGCTTCCTCGCGGCCTGCATTCAGTGGGAGCCCATGATTGCCAACAAATCTGCTCAACCAGGCCTACCCCGGGGCCTTTCTCACAGCCTGGTTGCCCAGATCTAAAATCCATGTGGCAGCATAGGAAGGGAGGTGGGGAGGTGAGGTAGAGCTTTGTGAATATTCTCACCAGGAAGCCGCACAAACCCAGATGTTCTGGGATGGGGTGCATGCAGTCACACACAGAGCCACCCAAGTGCCATTGAAAGAACAACGCCCCCTGCATTCCTGAGTGGGGGATGGGAGTGATGGTCAGGGAACCACAGCAGTGAAGACAGAAGTGGGTGCTTGGCACAGCATGTGACTGGGTGGGGTGGGGCGGGACTTCGACAACCCTCTGGATGCACAGAGCCTGGCTCAGGCTGGCTTGGCTCCTGTACGGGGGAGCGGGGATCCTGCTGTGGGGAGAAGGGACGCAGGGAGAGATAGAAGGGGACCAGCTGAGGTGAGGAGGTCCAGGCAGGTTGAGAGGCTCCCTGGGGCCATGGGTTGGACCTGGACTGACCCCAAGGCCCAGGTGTTGAAGGCATGGTCCCTCACCGGTGGCACTATTAGGAAGTAAAGCTGGGCCCCAGAGCGTGAGTTCTCCAAGAGGCTTTGGGGAGCCTGGTCCCTTCTGCTCTTTGCTTCCCTTCCTGGCTTCCTGGCTGTCATGAGGTGAGCAGGCCTCTGCCCCATGCTTCCGCCATGATGTCTGCACCATCACAGACTCAGAGCAGCTGGGCCAAGAGAGCACACACCAAAGCAAACCTTTCCTCCATGTACACTGACTGTTCCCGGTATTCTGACGCAGCGACGGAAAGATCACACATCACAGGCAAGAAGATCAGGCTCAGGAACCCTCCTGTCCTCCACAGGCCTCACCAGCATCTCTGCACTGGGTGCCAGCTCAATGCTCAGGAAACCAGAGCAGTAACTGCCGTCAGACCCCATTCATTCCTCAAGGGACAGATGCTGGGCAGGAGAGCAGTCTGCTCTTCTAACGCAGGCGTCAGAGCAGTGAGGAGGCTGCACGTGGGGGACACTGGGAAACTCCACAGCGGCTCATCAGCCTGAGGGAGGGGCTGAGAGGCTCCGAGGGCGCAGGTCAGGGGAGAGAGAATTCAGGGTACATCCAGAGGGAGAGAACCATGGGGACAGGAGAGCAGGTGCCCCTCCACCACCCGGGGTCAGTGGGGCTGTGGCCTGGCAGTAAGGCAGGGATGGTAAGAGACAGGCCCAAGAGATAAAAAGATCTCTGATCCAGGGCAGAAACTTATGAGTTAATCTCACATACTAAAATTTGCAGAGGAGCTGGGGTGTGGCTCAGTGGTGACACCTGCCTAGTATGCAGGGGGCCTGGCTTCCATCTCAGCCCCAGAGGAGAATCTAGATGTTGCTGTCCCCTTCAGGACAGCAGAGCAAGCGGATGTGCAAACTTCCCCTTCTTGCTAGTGTCTTTGTTAGAGTCACCTCTTAAACCCAGGGCTTCAGTAAGCGCTGCAGGAAGCCGGGAAGCAGCTGCTTCCTAACCAGCTGGCTGGAGGCCTCTGTCTCTCCAGGCCCCAGCCCCTGTCTTCTTTTCTCTGATCTGCTCTGTATCCTGGTAGGGATGGCCTCCAGCGGCTCCCTGCTCTGGGTGAGGAGGATGCGGTGCACCAGGGAGAGGTGTCAGAGGAGACTGGAGGTCCTAGGAGCGGGAAGCCAGGGTGTTTACTGCCCTGGGTTTCTGTCCCTCTTGGCCACTCTGGGTTGCTGTGTCCTTTTAACCAAATGCAGCGCCAACCCTGTGACTCTGTGCTTAGGTAGAGGCTCAGGTCTCTGGCCAGTGAAGGGTGCTCGCTGCTGCTCTTCCAGGTATACTCTCTACCATCTCTTCGCAGTGCCTCTACACTCTGCTTAGGCCTTTGCAAAGAATCCCTTTAATTAAATCTCTTCCAAGTACCCAGCTGGGGCTCCAGTGGTTTCCATGGAAAACCTGG